CGTCGGGGTCCCGGTGCATGGAGCCTGCTTCTCCCTCTGCCTGTGTCTCTGCCTCTCTCTCTCTCTCTCCCTGTGTGACTATCATAAATAAATAAACATTTAAAAAAAAAATAAAACTCGCCCTGTATTTAAATAGTTGCACAGTTTCTTAAAAGTCCTGGAAATGTTACTTTTAATGTTCGAATGATTAATTAAAATCATTAAATTATTAAACTTTTGGAAAACTCTGGTAAGATACTTTGACATTTAAGAGTATTCCGAGTTGTAGACGTCACGGGCCTCGTGACCTGAAAACAAGAGGTCCCTCTCCCCTTATTTGATCAAACTACCGTAGAGGCAGCAAACCGTGAAGCGGGGTAGCTCCGTTCTCCGGATCCGGGCCTTGCAGTTGCTGTTGTGGAGCACAGGCAAGGCCTTGGCGTTGGGTTTCCCCTCTGCAGGGCGTGCAGTTCACCTTGAAGGGCTCCTCCGGTCGCCCTGGCCTCTGAGACTCAGTGCTGCTATGGTTTCTGCACTGCTCTCAAAGTCCTTATTGATGTCAGACCTACGTCGCGCTCATTTTTACACAGATCTGCCAGCCTGAGAGTCTGACGCATCCAGAAAGCCAGGGCCTCATACACGGTGCCCTGTAAGGCCAATCGTTGGATGAATGCGGGCCCAAGAGGGCTCCGGGCGGTGCTGGCTCGGGGCCTTGGCTCAGGACTGCAAGCTGGTGTGCCCAGGCCCAGCCCTGGCTGCGCGGGCGTGGGGTGCTCTCGTTCCAGCAGGGCAGGAGAGGATGTCAGCTCTCGGTCGCAAGGGGATGTCTCTCGAGTCTGTTTTAATTGGGATTTCTGCTTTGAGGGAGCCTAAGGAGCTGACGTGGCTGAAGGAATGAAAGAGCAAACAGGCAAGGCTCCTCGGGGACGGCTCACCAGCAGGGGAAGCGAGGACGTGCGTCACCTTTGTTTTTGGCAATGGGTGGCCGGGGAGGGCGCGGCGGGTGCTCGGGTCGCGACGGGAGGAGGGGGAAGCGCAGCTGTCGTGGAGCCACGCCGATCCGGTTTATTTAAGGAAACGCCTCCTCCCGTGGGCAGTGGTGAATGTAAAAGTGAGGCATTCCCTTTTACCTGTTTTTCAGTGATTGCTTGGACAGGTCTCTCGAGAGAGAAAAAGATCATTTTCTATCCTGCAGATTCCGTAACTGCCCTCAAACGACGGATGGTGTCCCACGTCCGGTGGAGACAACGGCGTGAGGTGCCCCGGGGGGACCTCCAGACCCTGGATGGCCGGGGCCCTTGCAAGGCCGCTAACCAGTTACTGTTCATGCCCTGCTGGTGAGACAATCACTAATGTCGTTGCTCAACACGTCCTTTCTGGTTTACGCGTGCAGAGTGCTCAAGAACTCACTTGTGGTCACGAGGAAGTGAGCCTGTGGTCGTGACCTGGTCGGGGGGCTCGAGCCGTACGTTCGGGGGCAGCCGCACAGGCCGTGTTGCTTTGGACTGCAGCCGAGCGAGAGAATCATTACGTGTGGGGCGCTTTTAATGGGTTACTCCGATCTCCAGGGAATGAAGCCGGTAAACAATAAAGTAATTCAATTATAGAGCTATCCTTCCAGAAAGAAAACAAAACACCACGGCCTTTTCATTTAGTGATTTTTCACTTCTCAGGCCTACTCAGCAAACAGACTGGAAAATGTTAAATGTGCTCTGGCAGTGGTTTGGGAAGAAAAAGAAAAAAAAAAAAGCCATCCGGTATAAATTCATCCCCTGTATTCGGGTTAAGGACTTTCACCAAACCCCCTCGACGTACTTTGGCCAGGACTGTATTCCTCGTCCGGGGCCCATCCACAGGGGGCCCCACTAGGAAGGGGAGAATATTTCTCTACCCTTATATGGATAGATTGTGGTTAATATTGCACCTAAATTTGTAATCAGAATGTGACATTTATGATTTGGTTGATAGATACGTGTGGGGGGGAGGGAGTCGATGTAGGAGATGGTACTTCTCGGCTAACAAGGAACGTGGGGGAGGACACCAGGTTTCGACAAGGTTCAGGTTTGCTGCAGAGAACCTTCATCTTAAACTGGACAGGACACAACGTGAGAGATCCTAGAGAGCTAATATTGGGCGAGGAAGCTTCTCTTAATCACAAAGATATCAATTCTCGGGACGCCTGGGCGGCTCAGTAGTTGAGCGTCTGCCTTGGGCCCAGGCCGCGATCCTCGGGTTCCAGGATCGAGTCCCACGTCGGGCTCCCGGCATGGAGCCTGCTCCTCCCTCTGCCGGTGTCTCTGCCTCTCTCTCTCTCTCTCTCTGTGTCTCATAAGCCAATCAATAAAATCTTTAAAAAATAAAAAGATACCACTTCTTCCAAGCCTGCTGCTTGCTGCCACCCAACGTTCCATAGAACGTCGACCAAGTAACGGGGTCGGTCGGGCCCCTGACTGTAGGAACCACGCGAGTCCAGACTAACCGCCCTCCTTTCAGGTAGGCTTCTACTCCGCTTAGCCACCGGCCGCGTGGCCCTTAGGTCTTGGCAAAGAGCAAGGAAGCCCCGGGGCCGGCACAGCGTGGTCGGTCTGAGGCTGGCAGCAGGGAGGGCCTCCGAGCATCCCGACGGCTGCGGCCCACGGCCAGGGCCGGGCTCAGAGCCCGAGCGCGCAGGGGGGCGCGGGGCCTCGTGGGCAGGGCCTCCGGCTAAGCCACGCAGCCCCCCGCGCTCCGCTTCCACCCCTGGAGGCCTCACAACTGGGCCCCGACAGCTGAGAGCGAGTCAGCCCTGGAAGCTCTGGGACTGATGAGCCGGCACCTACGCAGACGGCCCCAGCGGGCCGGCCTCGGGGCCCCGTGACCAATGCCCGTGTTCCAGTCACACAGAAGACCTTCTCTTCTCCGAGGAGCCCCTCGGAGGCGACGTGGCCTCGTCTAAGCAAGCCGGGCCCGGAGCGCGGGGTTCAGGAGCCCAACGAGCAGAGGGCGCTGAGCCGGGTTTTAAACGGATCGTATGGCCGGCGGGGCTGCCGTGTCGGAGGTTTCATTCATGTTGGATACCAGGCCATCTCCATAAACCATCTTTATGACTTTAAACGCGTTATGCAGGTACGGCGACAATAGACGGTGTGTCCCAACGTGCCAGGCGTGGCCGCTGGCCTCCCTGCGGGCTGGGCTTCCCGTTCCGCTTCCCCAAGGTGTGTGTATCGTGGATGATTTGTTCGCGGATTGAACCATATTTTAGTTTTATTCACGTAGCCTTGTCCGTTGACGCTGCTTTGCCTGTGTGACTCCTCCTCGTACGTCCGCAGTCGACCCACGTGAATGTCATCTTAGTGTCTCCCTCCTCCTCCTTGCACAAAAAAAAAAAGCGAAAGGAGTGTTTATCAATGCAGTTGTCGACGTCGCACGGTAAGGAAAATGCACAGGACGCGTTTGGGGCTGCTAGGGTAGAAACTCGTCCCGCGACAGCTGTGTGGTGTCAACACGGGGCTGTGTTTCAGGCTTTGTGCGGTGCCTTTCTGCCCTGTGTGAATGCTCTGCTCTTTTCTTTTCTCCTGACTCCCCCCAACCCCCCTCCCCGTTTAACAGCAGACAGACCCAGGGAGCGCTGAGTGAATCCGATGACCCCGAAACAGGCTGTCTGACCGATAACAAGCCAACTTCTCGACACTTCTATCCTGTCGCCTTGCTGCTCGTCAGCTCACACCTGCTGGTCGTGTGGCTCATTTTAAGTCTTGCATTACTATTAGCCAAATACCAATAAGTTTCACGTTGCATTCCTTTCTTTTCTACAAACGACAACGGACTTTAAATTACGGGGGCGATGCTGTAATATTTCTACATTTTCAGATTCGCAGACTTTAAAAAAAAAAAACGAAAACAGTGTTTGAACTGTAAGTGTTTTGTTCGTTTTTTCCCAAAACCTACGAAAAGAAGTAACTATGCATTGAGTTGTTTTTGCTCTTTTGTTCATGGAAACGTGTTCCCCCACTGTTAAGTAGCTCAGAAGAATTCTTGAATTACTGTCTTTGGAATTAAGACAAAGAACAGAATCCTGAAAGCTTGAAGCTCGGCACCTCCTGTTTCTCTCCCCCATTCAATTTATCAGAAACAATTAAGAGTGAATTTGCACAAGGAACGCACTGACCCCCTGAGACGAGTCTCAGAGATGTGGGAGGTTCCAGACTTTCTCTCCACTGTGCTAATATCACTGTTGCCGTCAGCCCATAGGACCTGCTGTTTGGTTCCCGGACCTGTTCGTTATGTTGGGTCTTGGCTTCGATTCGCCCTTTCCTGTCAAGTGATTTCACGGCGAGAATGGCTCTTTCTGTTTTGTGATTAAACTGACCTGTTTGTAACTATCGTTTGGGTTGATTTGGCTCTCGGAGTCCTTTGCTATCCTTTGTACCGAGGTCTTGTTTGTGTCCGACTCGCCGTTTTCAGCACCTGTGACTTTCTGTCCCGTCTGTGCTCGAGCCCCATTCCTTCCTGAAGCGGCGACTCGGACCAGGCCGTGGGGAAAGCCATTCTTCTCTTCGTGGCACAGCTAAAATATGGGAGTAAAATAGAGACGTTTTCCTTTAAAAATCTATAGGGCCAGACTTAATAAATTAAATGCCTTATTCCTAGAACCTGCATCCTTAGGGCTACATGTAGATTTTAATGTGTTTTAAAGAGACTGAGAAGTTAATTTGCGGAAAAGTCATAAAAAGGCAGATATATTTATGAAACTAAAGTGAAGCTGTATCGCGGAGCAACTTATATTTAAAGAGTTTATTGAACCTTAAGTATCTGTTAAGAACAAAGAGACTTGAATCATCTCTTTCCGAGGGCAATAATGGTATCGGGCCTGGCCTAGGATTTAATTTTGTAAGATGTATCATCATTTGTGGAAAAAAAAAATGTAGAGTTGAATCTTTGTTATTTTTACTTGGACTGTTGCTGCAACTCTGCATTGAACAAATAAAGCATATTTATTTATTCTGTGTTTCATGAAGTTGTACTTTTTCCCCTTTCACCAGAGAAGGATGCCGCATAGAGAATGTACTGAAGAATGTCAAATGCAGAAAATATGCTTTCAACATGCTACAGCTGATGGCTTTCCCCAAGTACTACCGACCTCCAGAGGGGACTTATGGAAAAGCTGACACCTAACTTTGCCAACACGCAAATAAACAGGAACACAAACACGCCTCAGTCGGACAATCTCCACCCTTTTCACTTTTCGATTGTCACAAAATCCGTGGAGGAGGGTGATCAGGGACGCTTGCCCAAATCTAGGGATTACTTGAATTAGGTATTTAGCATATTACTCTGAAAGGAGTCCGTTAGAAAAACCTTAAGTGACATTGTGACCCTAGTTCTCAGCTTCCGCACTTTGCCCCTGTGCTGGGTGGGCCCCACGCCCACGCCCACGTCCACGTCCACGCCCACGTCCACGTCCTTCGTGGAGGCCGTTAGCCACAGGCATTCTGAGCAGACGCAGGTGGGTTCCACAGGAGGGCACAGGTGTCTCCGAGAGGGATGCTCGGCCTCCAAAGTGGAGACGGGACGGGGCGGGGGAAGGGAAGAGAGGCTCAGACATGTTCTCTCACAGCCGTCGTCACGTGCGACCTTAGGGCCCATTCGTGGGAGCGGGAAAATATTTTTCCAGCGAATTAAAATTCGGTAGCGTCGACGCGCGGTCTTGACTGTAGGCGTGGGTGGCAGGTGTGCCGGTGACGACTCGGCCCCCAGCAGGCTGGGACGCGTCCTCCCGGGCGACGGGTGACACTGTCAGCCACACGGTGGAGGTGCTTCCCCGTATCAAGGGATCTTCCTAAAACTCTGACTCGGTCGTGTGGCCCCGTCACCCAAGCGGTGACAGAGAAAGCTGCCGGGTGGAGGACAGGAGCGCCGCACCGCAAGGGACTGCAGCCGCGGGAAGTGGACGATGAGCCGCCTGCTGCTGTCACATGTGAGAATCCCCATCAGCCTCAACCTCGTGCAGCCAAGCCCGTAAAGGTCAGTGAAGCACCTTGGTGACGTTTCCCAACAGCCACCTTGCTGCGGCACGGGGCAGGCGGACGTGCGCGTTGCCTGGCCTCGTTCCCGTGTGTGAGGGGCCGTCCCAAGGCCCGAGCAACCCTGACGGACGTAAACGGAAACGATTATTTCTGTTAGCCCGAATCTGAAATTTGTTCCCGGTAAAATCGCGTCACAGGTTCTCCAAAATTCCAGATTAAGCGATTGCTAGAGAGGCCGTCTTGCACGGCGCCATCGGAAACGGGCAAATTAGAGCCCCCGGGAGGCAGGCCCCAGTCGTCCCAGTAGACGGCTTTAGAACCACGGTTACAATCTCTTATCTTCCTAGCCTGTGGCTTGTCCGTTTTCCAAATGGCCATGCTGAAAATAGGTGAAAATCATGGAGGAATGCTGGTTAGTTACGTGGAAATTGGCATTTATTGCCAGAATCGAACCTTCGAGAACAACGGCCTGAATTGGTGGAGCCCATTTGCTCCCGATGTTCAGAGTTTATTCTTCTCCTCACCCGTGGGAAGAGAACGCTCTCCGGAGAAGGAATCTCCCCTCGGAAACGCTGGGGCTTGTCACACAGACACCTCCCGGCCGTGAGCACATTCAGCGGGGGGGGCGGGGGGTGACCTTACGGGGTTTTCCACCGCTGCTGTGACAGCTCCTTGGCTGACGCGTCTGCTGAACTAAGGGCTCCAGACACATCTCCAGGCTCATGTTGGGTTTTTCAGACGACCACAAATCTCAGATGACCGTTTGGGGCTTTTCATAGGAGAATTCTCAATCCGTTATTTTAGCTAGTGACGTGCGGGCATTGCATTTGAGGCCATTGACACACGGCTTACAGGTTTCTTTTTTAAGGAAAAGATGCTGTATACTGTAGATGAGATCTAGCCACAGTCCAGACTTCTTGGTGTGCTCCCTTATGCTTCATTCTCCATTTTAGTGATTAATTTTTGAACTGTCCGATTTTATTTGGAAATGGTAGGATTTTGTGGTTGTTTTCGTGATCCCCCTGGATTTCATGTGAAGAGGTCGGGATGACGGAGGTTTCCTTGAAGAACAGTGAAGCCTCATTCAGCATATAAGTTCCAAGAGAAGTCAAAGGAAAATGTATCGTCCCGTAAATACTCTTTGTATAGTCATTTTTGTTTGTCTTTTTAAAAATGAGAACTCGAGACTCAAATACGGAAAAAATATGTACTAACTAGAAAGCCAGTAAGTAAGGTGTTCTATTTGGGGAAGATAGCCCAATTTTTTTTTCTTTTTTAATAAGTACTGGCAGAGAAGTCTCAAAGCCTCGAACTTTATACAAATACACAGAAGTTTTCTTTTATTATCAGCAGAGTCATCTGCCTTCCCCTATACAAAGCCTCAATATTTGCACACTTTTAAAAGTGGGTTCCATCAACAGAATTCATGTTTCATATCAACAATACTGCTTTTCTGAGACATATTCAAGTATTGTTGGAAATCCCCTGTACTATTTCTTAAGTAATTACAGTTTTCTAGATCAAAGAGCAAATTTTGAGGAGTTTTAAAATGTCCTTTGTACAATCACAGCCTAGTTATGCTTTTCTCTATTTTTATTTAAAAGATACACCAGCAGGCCTATTTCAAGAGATCAGACTGAACCAGAAACGGAACCAAGAAAATGACATTTCCAAACAAGACAAATTTTTTTTTTGTTTTGCTAAAAATACGTTTCCCCTCTAATGTTATCAAATGCAGATATCAATTCTGCTTAACTATGTGCAGAGTTCTACAGAAAACATATCTAAAAACAAGGGAAGGTGACATCTTGATTATATTTGACCCAGTGGCAAAAGACCCAGAGCCTGAAAATGTTCCACGAAACAGCTAAGCATAAACATTTCAAATATTTAATTGAAGCAGACCCACATTTGGATGCATTCGTTAATTTCTCATGTGGTTGTCGGGCTTTTTTTCCATATAAATGGTGTCTTAGATTTTGTCTCTACCCTGCCTTTGCTGTTGGATCAGTCTAATAATCCAGTGAGTCAGAGCCACGATTTGATCCTGCCCACAAATGGTGCTAAAATGACCAACCAGCTAATTAGAGCAATACACCACGTGACTGGCCTCCAGTTCTTACTTTTTTAAGACTATTTCCTGAAAACTATGAAGTCTTTAAAAGCTAGCATCTGGATGGAGGATACTTGCCTTTCTCCCCCCAACTACGTATGGCATTTTGCATAAAGTAAGACTCACAGTGGAAAAGAAAAAGATCTGTATGCAGTAATGCTTTCCTTCCCTCCTGACCTAAAGCATGATACGTGCCACCGAGAAAGCGTACCCGGGGTGGCCTGGAACTGGCCCGTGCAGACTCCTGAGAGCTGGTCATTAAATTTTCAGGAATTTTGTAAGCCAGTTGTTAAACACACCATCATTAAATATTAAAATATCAAAAGCAATTGAATAATTTTTACAAAAAAAAGATAATCAAAACTTACCACTTCCTAATTAGATTCCTTCATTTTTCTCTTCGCCTGTGCTTTTGAGGTTAGTTGTGTCCGTGGTATCTGCACAGTGGAAGCAGCATAGCATCAGGGGCAACTGGGCCTCTCTTTCTGACTCCACACCCAGTAACATCATATGGGCGGCTTGAAACTGACCACAGGGGGAGTTTTCACTCGCAGAAATTGCCAAATGCTGAAAACTGGGACTTTTGATTCCTGGAAAAAGCCAGTTGTTAAACATTTACCAGCACACAACTGGATGACACCATCACCTTTTTCCTCCAGCAATGACAAATAATTGGAAGCATTATAAAATTAGTAATATGGGGGATCCCTGGGTGGCGCAGAGGTTTGGCGCCTGCCTTCGGCCCAGGGCATGATCCTGGAGTCCCGGGATCGAGTCCCGCGTCGGGCTTCCTGCATGGAGCCTGCTTCTCCCTCTGCCTGTGTCTCTGCCTCTCTCCCTTTCTCTTTGTCTCTCATTAGTAAATAAATAAAATATTAAAATAATAAAATAAAATAAAATAATAAAATAAATAAAATTAGTAATATGGTGTTAAATGTAGTCAGGCATCTTCAGTTGGCTACAATTTTATTTTGGTTCCCCCCCCCTTTTAAAGACACTTATTAGGCCGTAAGTAATATTTCATGTCTATATTTTATTCATAATAAAATTATATAATCACACAGATGCATTTAAAAATGTATCTCTCAAAAAAAAATAAAAAAAATAAAAAATAAATAAAAATGTATCTCTCTTGATGTTCTGCAAGGGAAATCTTAGCAATGCAACTGTAGTGTGAGCAGTAACAACCGTGGGCTAAGTCCAGGGAAATGGGAGCCTAACGAGAGCATCACTGAAGCTGTGCTTCAGTGCACATTTTCAAGTTCATGATTTTAGCATTTGCTAAAGGCAGGAAAAACGGTAACATATCACTGTGTCCAGATCCTAGTAAATATAGCTCAGTTGAAACCCAAACTGTTAGATTAAGCAAATGAAACTCTGGCGGTGCGGTATGCTAAGACGCCGCAGACGCGTTAGATGTTTGATTTCCACGCCTGGTGGCCTATCAGCTGTTTAACTCAATACGCAGGGCACCTTTTGTAATCTTTAGGAAATAAATTAACGTTTATCACAGATTTAAGAAACTGGCCTGAAAAAAAAACCGCGATCAGCAGTTCCAGAGGGAAGCTCGCATGTGGAGCACAAAGCATCCCTAATAGCTGGAGGCTTTACAAATTATGCACCACTGACGAGAATGAATTGCTGAGCGTTGTGCGGTTGATTGACAATTTTAGTGTGAATTGACATTCATTTAGCTCAGCTGCAGTCTGCAAAAGCTATGCCTCCCCCCCTCCCATGTTTCTATTTTACTGCTTTGCAAGGAAAGCTCTAATATATCCTTTGTTTCTTCGGCATTTTTAAGTTAGAACTTTCTACCCAGACAGATGCTACCTATAGCAAAACGGTCTTTAGAAACAGAATAAAATAAAATTCATGTTGAGATAGAATATTGTGAGCCAATTAGGTATAGAGTGAAGGTATGGAAATTTGGATTTTTACTTTCTGAGTCACAGCACACATTAATCAGTCTTTGAATTTTATTTCTAAGCAAGTAAGAGTATAAAGTGCTTCCAATGTCAAAGAAACAAAGCATAACGGGCTGCTAGTAACAAGGAGGTAGAAAAAAAATTATAAGGTAGTATCAGCACCCCCCAAAAAATTATACATGCAATTAGGTATTCTCAGCTGGAAAAATCTATTCTCATAGATTACATAAATCTTTAGAATAATAAATTAAAAACAGGAAAACAAGGCTCACAATGAAGCACAACGCCCAGACAGCCTGAATATCAAGAGAGAAAACCGAACATTCGTGATGTTGCCCGACAAGCCATCCTCTTGTTTACCTTTTAGTAAATAGAGTTCTTTACGATGATACTGCACTTTCCTACTCACGGCATGAATATATTCATAAACTTCCTAAAATCGTTGAAATTACTCTAAGGTCACAAAAAGGCATAATCCAGCAGCCCATCCTCAGTGATCACTGGGTACGGCTTCGTTGTCTGGGAGACTGTACTGACTCACAGATTGGCCAGATTGCCTTATCCTCTACACAGTCTTGCGATGCTTTTTTTTTTTTTTTATCACTGTCAATATTTAAAAATATTTCACATCAAAGGACTCTCAGCCTGTTTAAAGGCAGGCCCCACGTGTCTGTAAGTGCGTAGACACTCCCATTTCCCTCCACAAGAGCTACCCTTTATACACGTACACTTTTCATGTGGATACTTCATTATTTTGTTTAACCTAACATCTAGTGTTCGGATTCTTATGGTACTTACCTGAAATGTTGGCATTTGTTTTCTTTTTTTTTATGTTAAATATATATTCTAGATGAGCCAATAATGTGTATTCCTAGGAAATGGGGCACAAATAGGCTAGATCATGTTATATTGGCGTTTGAAGAAATATCATTTTATTTTGTTGTTCTGTGTAAACCATATTCATTGTACACTGTGTGTATATTTTTTTAAATAAATGTGATTTTTATTTTTTATGTTTCTGTCTTTTTCTCCCTATCACATTTTTTTTTCATTTTCATCAACGTAGCAATGTGTAAATGTTAATTAAAATAGCAGAAGGGTAGCCTACATAATATTTTGAAGAGAATAGACGAGTTTTGTGCTAGGCCACAATTTCAGAGCAAATCTTATATTGACGCTAGGTTCACCTCCTATTCACCAGCAGAATGCATCTTTTCAAGTTTCCATTCTGTAGGAACAAAATCAACCACAATTTATAAAAGAATTCAAGAACCAGGTATCGGTGCTTCAACACCGGGCGAATCACTCATCTTTGTTGCCCAGATGATGGTGGAGTCACTTGAGCACATGAACGAACTTCTCCTTCCAGGCTGTTGGATCTGTTCATTCACACCTCATTGTAGTAGCTGGTGCTGGAAGGCAACTCCAAGGCTTCCCTTATGTCTTGTTGCCAAAAAATTAACCAAACGAGGTCCCCGCTTGCTTGTAAAGGGAGAATGATGTTTTGCCAGCTGGAGCGTTTCCAGAGCGTTGCTGATCCTTCAGCAAGAAACACTCCTGTCTTGTCATGTCACCATCAGTACGTTTGCACCCACATGCGTGGTGCCTCCGAGCAGGACGGTGTGCAGGTGGCCTCAGGGTGGGGCAGTGTGTGGGGAACCGCGGCCAAGGGCCCACGGCCTAAACTCCAGGGAGGGGCCTGAAGTGCTGTGCTGTCGGAGTGGCAGCAGAGCGGGGGCTCGGAGCGCGTGTCCCAGAGGATGGAAGCTGGGGGACGGATGCATGCAGCCAGGAGCACACGGCAGGCCGCACAGGTGCAACAGGAGCACAGTAGGCCGTGCAGGTGCAGTGGGGCACACAGCAGGCTGCACAGGTACAGCAGGGAACACACAGCAGGGCTGTGCAGGTGCAGCGGGAGCACAGCAGGCCGCACAGGTGCAATGGGGAGGACACAGCAGGCCGTGCAGGTGCGCAGGAGCACAGCAGGCCGTGAAGGTGCAGTGGAAGCACACAGCAGGCCGTGCAGGTGCGCAGGAGCACAGCAGGCCGCACAGGTGCAATGGGGAGGACACAGCAGGCCGTGCAGGTGCAGCAGGAGCACAGCAGGCCATGAAGGTGCAGTGGGGAGCACACAGCAGGCCACACAGATACAGCGGGGAGCACACAGCAGGGCTGTGCAGGTGCAGCGGGAGCACACAGCAGGCCCCGTAGGTGCAGTGGAGAGTGCCTGTCTCCGGGGTCCGCACCCCCGCGGCTCGCCCCTAATGCACGCACAGGCCTCCCCGCTCGCCTGGCCCCTCACGGCATCTGCGCCCCCGTCACCCGGCTTTACCAGCTGCAGTCAGCTCTAACTCGTCCTCTCACTCAGCATAGAAACATTCCGGGGGCCCCGGGGGCTCAGAGGTTTAGCACCTGCCTTCAGCCCAGGGGGTGACCCCGGAGTCCCGGGATCGGGTCCCACATCGGGCTCCTGCAGGGAGCCTGCTTCTCCCTCGGCCGGTGTCTCTGCCTCTCTGGGTCCCATGAATAAATGAATAACACCCGTAAAAGCAGCAGGGAAGCCTTCCAGGTGTCCCTAGGCCTGTACAGTTTCGCGCGCCTCCCCTGGCAGCGTTCCTCCCCGGGTCACGGCCCAGCTGCTGCTGTCGCGCACGTCCTCTGTGGCCCGTGGGAGTGGCTGTGGCCACGCTGAAGGAGGCTGGCCCTCGTTGGGGTCCACCGCGCGGCCCCACCTCCTCTACCAGGGCCTGCAGCCCCCTCCCTGCTGTCATCCCTCCGGAGCCACACAGGAGCCTGTCTCCCCAGCGTATGCCCCATCCCTGTCCCTGTCCCCGTCCCCGTCCCTGCACAGGCACACTCAGCTCTTCCCCGAGCCAGTTCCCTCCCTCCCACCGCCCACCCCGTGGCTCCAAGTGTAGCCCTTCTGCTTCTGATTCCGAAGCAAACTTCCCGTGTCAGTCTAAATGGCCATCAGTCCCCACTCGTCTCATTTTCCTTGCTGTGCCTTGAATGACTCAGTGCCCTGCACGTGCATGTTCTCGAGCATCTAGCAGGTGCGTGGGCCGGGAGGCCGGGCCCGGTGTGAGCCGCGGGCCAGGGGCCTCCGCTGCCGTTCACAGGCCTCACCGTCCAGCGGGGGCCAAGCAGACAAAAGGGAAACCAACCGAAGAAACCAGAAAGTGGTGCTTCATCATCATGTGTAACGCGAAGCACATACTCTGGGAGTCTCGGCGAGCCTCGCGGCGCAGGTGACAGGCACCCTGGCTTCGGGGTGACCTCTGAGAAGGGGTCGCTTAGATGAAGCCATAAAGGGGAGGGTCATCCGGCAGAGGGGGGAGGTCCGCGCAGAGGCAGGCTGTGCGGGGCCCCTGGGGCCACGGGGGGGGCGGGGGAGATGGGACTGGACTTGGCAAAAGACTCAGCCCAGGAGGGGAAGGGACTTTAAGCTGAGTTTCATGCATGATTAGGAGTAATTAGAAGGTTCCAAGCAGAGGAACCAAAGTGACCTAGTTTATCTGTTTAAAGGAGCACTCCAGGTGCCGGGCCGAGGCTGGATGATGAGGGATCGACAGGGAAACTGAGGCAGCTGGAAGGAACCTGCAGGGAGGCAGAAGGACCCGCCAACAGGGACTGAGACTGGCAGGCCCCGGGCAGGGGTGGGGGCCCAGGGCACATGAGCCGGTGACAGAGGCCCAACACCCTGGCATCCGGGGGGGACCTCAGCCCGTGACTAAGAGCTCACTCATTATATGGCCTTGGCAAGGGGCCGTGCCCCTCTTGGAAGGGACGTGGGAAAGTGGACCCCGCATCCCCAGTGGTGGTCGGGCGGTGAGAGCAATGAGACCAGGCCTGGGAGCAGGCCTCGTGGGCTTCGCCGTCAGGAGGCCGCGCCCCTGCAGAAGCAGCTTTTGGTAAGAATCACTTTACTATAAAATTGCATTTTATTTGGAGTTAGACTCTAAAGTCGCTAATAAGATAAAAATGAAACGTCATTTCACTGAAATAAATGGAACTAAGGAAACAACTATATTTCTACAGTGAGAGGCCAGAGGTTCAATGGATTTTGGACTTGCTTTAACCCTGAGTGAATCAGTTCGTTGTTATTTTGCATGTGGCCATACTTAAGCCGAAGATAAGCTCCCTGGGCGCCCCTTGCCCCTCCATGAACGAGGGGCGAATTCACCTGAATGCAAGGATTCTCCGAAACGTGAATTGCCTCTAGAATATGGTTTTATTTCAGAAGCTCCTGACTTACTCCTAAAGAAAAGTATGAAATTGCACCAATTTTCTTTTTATCGAGAGAAATAAATATAGAGGTCTAAACATCCCTTCACCTCTGTTTCATGTTTTGAGGCGAGGAGCATCCTCTAGGATAATATTTGTGGCTGGTAATAATTTACGTGACACAAATTATAAGCGGCTTCTTATTCGGTGAATGCGGATACAATTGGAAATGCAGAGTTTAGCCAATACCTTGCTTCTTTTTTCTGGTATTTGCCTGCCTACAGGTATGACATGGCCAACTCATTCCATGAGGCCAGTTTTACCCTGACATCGAAACCAGACGATAATGGGATCCGCGGGTGGCGCAGCAGTTTAGCGCCTGCCTTTGGCCCAGGGCGCGATCCTGGAGACCCGGGATCGAATCCCACGTCGGGCTCCCCGCATGGAGCCTGCTTCTCCCTCTGCCTATGTCTCTGCCTCTCTCTCTCTCTCTGTGTGACTATCATAAATAAATAAAAATAAATTAAAAAAATAAAAAAACAGACGATAAGAAAGAAGGAATTTAAAAGTAACATGAAGTAATTACAAAGCAATTGGAAAGAGGTAACAAATAACAAACAAATAAATAAAAATAAAGGTTCAATTTATATATACAAATATTAATATACAAGTTCACTATACAAAAGTTAATGGCATTTCTATATTTCTACCAATAATCAATTTAAGTGTAAAAACAATGCCATTTACAAAGGCACAAAGGCCAGTGAATTGATACAAGGGTAGCTTTTTCAACAAATGGCACTGGAACAATTGGATGTTCACATGCAAAACGTAAGGCTTCGTGAATACCTCAGACCTTGTACAACAACCAACCAAAATGTAAATGTGAAACTATTAAACCTCTAGACAAAACCATAGGGGAAAATATCTTTGAGTTTGGGTTAGGCATACGGTTCCTAGATATAATAGCAAAAGCACCAATCATAAAACTAACAGAGCCAATTAACTTTATTGAAATTAGAAACTTGTGTTCTGCATTTAACATTGTTAAGAGAAGGAAAGCCCAGCTTCAGACTAGAGGAAAACATGTGCGACTCATACGTCTAACAAAGTATTTGCAACTAACACTGTACGTGACCCTTAATACTCAACAATAGGACAACAAGGTACTCCATTTCAAACATCATGAGCAAAAGATCTGAACAGACACGGTGCCAAGGGAAATACTTGGCCGGCAAATAAACACACGAGAAGCTGTCCAATGGGTTTAACCACTGTGGAAATGCAAATCAAAACCATAACGAGACACCACTTGAGTATGGGGAGCAACTGGAATTCTCATTCCTTGCCGCTGGTGGGCATGCATGGTGCTGCCCCCTGGAAAACAGTTTGACAGCTTCCTGGACAGTTAACATAACCCAGTCACCTTATTCTCAGGTATTCACCCAAGAGAAATGAAAATGCATATTCATCTAGAAACCCGTACACAAATGTTTATGGAAACTTTATAATTGCCAAGACCTGGAAAACAAGTCAACTACCCTTCAGCCACTGAATGGGCAAAGTTACTGCAGCACGTCCATACACCGTGACACTCTTCAGCAGCACAGAAGCATGGACTATTTCTTTACACAACAATATTGATGACTCTCACATTCATTTTGCTAAGTAAAAGTAAAAAAAAGTATCAGACTCAAAAGATCACAATTCTCTATGCTTTCACTTACATGGTATTTTGGAGTACAAATACTGTAGGAACCTATAAAACATCAGTGGTTGCCAAGAATTG